AGGGGAGGGATGAAATAATCTGTGTTCCTTCACTATCCAATCAGCAGTCTGGGGGTGGGTCCTTGACAAAACTGTGCCGCTTAACGGGACCTGGCTGGGGTTTCTGGCAGGGGGCTGGATCACAAGACTGGCCAAATATGAATTACAAATCTTTTTGCAAGCAAGACAGTTCACATGTAAAGTAGTGTGCAAACGTTTTAGGCAGGTGTGATAAAATGCTGTAAAGTAAGAATTATTTCAGAAATAAAAATGTTAATAATTAATTTTTATCAATTAACAAAATGGAAAGTAAATGAACAGAAGAGAAATCCTAATCAAATTTCTATCTGGTGTGACCAGCCTTTGCCTTCAAATAGCATCAATTCTTCTAGGTGCTCTTGCACACAGTTTTTGAAGGAACGCCTGTCTCTTCATGTAATCCAAGACACACTTGATGATGTTGAGATCAGGACTCCTTGTTCTTCTTAAGGCCTCATTCACACGGGGCTGATCCCGGTTGGGACAGGTGTGATTGTGTGCGGCAGCCTGTTCTAAACTATAGGAGGACGCGGCTGTATGCTGTCACACGCTCACCCGAACTGCACATCCGTGTGGGTACAGGTGTCTACACTTGCATCCTGTCTGCGTCCAAGTGTGGACACCCGTCCCCGCATGGATGACAGTGTACAGCTGCATCCTCCCACAGGGAAGAACAGGCTGCTGCACGCAATTACATGCAGCACCTGTCCTTCCTGGGATCAACCCGTCTGCGTGCGTGTGCGCCGCACGGACGTGTACGCCCCATGTGGATGAGGCCTTACGCTAAAGATAGTTTACATTTACATTTTGTTAATTGATAAAAATAAACTATTAACACTTTTATTTCTGAAAGCATTCTTACTTCACAGAATTTTTTCACACTTTTGCACAATACTGTATTTATTAAATGTGGATTTAGTGATTTGAGATCAGCTTTAAAGTTCATTGGATATGCTTGTAGACGCGATCAGCTTCATGTAAATAATCTAATTAATGTTAGAAAAAAAAAAAGAAATAAACTGTTTCTGAGTCTAGCTTGTAATAAAGTAACCCCTCCATATGAGAAATGCAGGTGCTCCCAGTGTTGACCTTGTTCTGCTATATGGCTAGATGGTATGCTGACCCTTACAGCTTTAGAAACTAACCGAGAACAGTATATAGAGCAGGAGAGTCAGAGAAAAGTCAAAGGTTTATTTGCATACTTGTACTGGGTCAGTGACTCCAAGTACTGAAACCAGAGAGTCCCCCATGACAGCCAGGCAACTAGCATATGCAGCATAAGAAGTCAGCAATGGCGTTCTCCATTGTTTCTTCAAGGTTTTCTTTAAAGCTGAACCCTGGGGAAATTTCAAAACTACCCTTGTACACTTAGTTTTGTCTAGGGTACCATTAAAAAGCAGTTCTAGTTACCATATCCCTCGCCCTTGCTCTGTCGGTCGCAGGGATTCTGACATGTTCATTTACAATGTAGGACTGCTGGTGCTGAGGGCCCCCCCCCCACAGCCAGGAGACTTGGATAGAAGAGGAGAGCGCCGGCTTCCATGGAATGAGGGATCAGGTAAGAAAAAACTGTCTTTTACTGGTACCCAAGACAAAAATTAAGCATATAACCCTTTCCGTTCTGAGGAACCATACAGTAAGGAAACTTTTGACATTTCTCTGGAGTTCAGCTTTAGGCTAGGGGCGTGTTGCCCTGTATAGCATAAAGGGCCGTTTTCCCATGCGCCCGGAGCTGTGGGAAGAAGCGTGTGGGAAAGTCATGTAAGTCTGGGGAGATGCAGGAGCTGTGTGAACTTACATGCTGCTACCTGCAGTTCTATGTTCTGACAGCCACCCACAGACAGTGTACAGTCTCGGACGCATACATCATGGATCCAGGACCGTGGAAGAACTGTGTGGGGGCACACGACTCCTGCGTCTCCATAGACTTACATGGGCTGCCCACATGCTTCTTCCAACACCTCCGGGTGCATAAAAAATCGTCCCTTCACACCGTAAGGGGGCAACATGCCCCGTGTGAATGAGGACTAATACACACATATGGGGGCAGCAGTATATGCAGTATATGGTTATTACATATTCAGGCTGCAGTAATGCTGCACAATGATTGTGCTTTCCTGATCCTCTCTTATTGAAGAAAAGAAACAAGAGCAGAGATATAGCAGTATAGTACACTTGCATGTGACAAGCACCACGAATGTTCGCTAAGGAATGAAATGCAGCCATTCTGTTGGAAAAAACGAAGAAAGCATACGTAAATGTATATATTAATGGAACCTGCATTCCAATCATCAGTATATGAAAATGGACTCAAAAATATTAGAGAAAATCACCTTTTCATTTCAGGCATGCGTCAGCTTAGTTGATGGACACTGGAGTGGAGCATAAACTCCACAGTGAAACACGCTTTTAGTAAATTCACTGTATGTACACTGTAGCTGTGCAGGTCTCGGGAGCTTAGTAAGTACTATTTGGATATCAGTTGGCTGTTTGTATAAATAGATGAGCTGGTGTATATTGGTATGCTTTAGTAAATCAGAGCCAAAGTGTTCATTGGTCTACGTGAAAACAAAACACCCTGTGTGGCTAATTGATAGTGATGATGGCCATGTTCCTTGGTTTACAGCTGGCCACCTGAAAGATACCGAATTTACATAAAAATAAATATTATGCACTCAATGGAAAAGCACTATAGACTCGCCCTGTTAGCTGTTACTGTGACATTCTTCCACCCTCCATTGTATGACACAGATGAGAAGAGTTAACTGTCAACCTCTTATCAGTGGAGAGGAGGTTGGAGGCACACTGCCCAGGTCCCTGTTCATGCAGTATAAGTCCTGAACATGGGCATGTGTGCTCAATCAATATACACATCTTCCTTCATTCCCAGCATTATCGGTGGCAGCACAAGCATGAAATACACTCGCTAATAATTTATAGCGCCATCAGTATAAATCTCTTTGGAGTTTGTGTCCACTCTCCAATAATTTACGGCTTCAAATGTATCTCCCATGAAGGGCAATTCCCCAGATCACAAACTGCAATAAAAGCAGAGTAGCTGGCCCCGCACACAGCTCAGGAACACACACTCATCTGCCAACTGCCATTTGGAAAGCCACCAAAGCCAATACTGGAGTAATGCTAAGTGATGGGAGCAGGTTTTATGGAGAACAAAAGAGGAGCATTACGTCAAAACCAGGCTTGTAAATAAGGCCAAAGTGGACATTTCTCTGAAGAGTGAACAGAAGGTGACTCTAGAAGAATCCGCTTCTAGGATAGGACTTCTGAGGACTTCCATGGATTGAGGGACTGCAAGTCTCAGCACGCAAGCCAACTTGCAAGCAACGTTTGCAATATACCGACCCATAGCAAAGATCACCCATAATACCCTTGAGTCAAGACTGAAAAATAAACTATTTTCAGAAGAACATATTGTTACATTTTGGGATTTTTTAACAGTTTTGGAATCTGGATGATATATATACAGTATATATATATATATATACATATTTATTTATTTATGTTAATCAGCATCCACCATGGAAGGAATTCCCACCCAGCAGCCACCCATTCTTTCCACGTTTCACCTTTACAGACTTAGTTGTGGAGATCTCTATGGCTAGGGTGAAACACGTGAGAGGTAGGCGGCGGTTGGGTGGGGATTCCTTCCATGGTGGATGCTGAATTTCTATTAATTAAAATATACAAGCGGTGAACAGCGGTGTGCGGCTTCTTTTTATACTACATTAATGTTTTGGAGTGTGGATGGCTCTGGGTCAGCAGTACATGCACCCAGAGGGTGGCAATCGCTGCTGGATGGAGCGGTAAAGCTTTTTGTTGTTTGCACCCTATTCTCTCAATTTAAGGTACAGCAACAAGGAATTACACTTGCATCCTATGCTCTGTATATTTTTCTTGTCATTTCGATTATAAGCTGACTTATTGAAGATCCTCGGGCTGATTCACTAAAGAGTAGCGTCTGTTCACTTGGAAAAGTAAATATTCACTTTGCATAGTGAATGATCGCTGAGCTTAGTAAATAAGGTTAAGCTGTGTTCAGTTCAAATAACCAGTCATGTGCTAGCAAAAATCATTTTTATTTCTTTTAATTTCTCTCAAACTTGTTTCGGTATACAAAGTGCACAGAGGTTTACTAACAGAGGAAGGAGAAAAAACAAATTCCATGTAGCCAGCTATCAGCCTGATCGCAGTCCAGGTGCTAGGGAGAAAGGCTCACAGTTGCCTTGAACATCTTATCAAGTCAGCTGCACTCTGTAGATCTTCACCAAAATTCAAAAGTATTTAACTATAAAAACATGATACATTGTGGTACAGAAATCCAATGTATAATCAGCCTGTAACACGTTTTACCAAAGTGTACTCATAGGAGAAGTAAGCCTTGATGGTGAAACGCGTTACAGGCTGATTACTTTAATTTCACATCCATCTGCTGGAATGTATCCATGATGTAAATAAGGAACCTTCTTTACGGAAAGAAACTTAACATGTGAAATGCACGGGCCATGTTCATATAGACATGCTTACAGTGCAATGTTAACTGGAAGTGAGAGCGCCGTGTAGATTTCCCATCAATACCCAGGTGTGGCACAGGGTAGCCAATCAGAAAAGTGCTGTTCTTTTTTTCTTTCCAAACTGCAGAGTAAAACATTAAACAAGCATCCTACAGGTGCCTATATTAGTTATGTAACACAAGCCCTACACCTGCTATTTCCTACTCACCCACTGAATTCCTAAAAGAAGAACTCTTTATATTGTGCAAAGTAATAATTTTTGTCCTTTTATTATTGAAATGTGTGCAGAAAGCATAAAAATCCCATGTGTGCTGGGTCACAAGGTCCAGTTATTCTATCAGGCTAAGCGCCTTCTAACAGTTCAAGTGCTTATCATGTGTGTGCAAATATGAAAAAATTGCTCCAGACACCAAGCGGTTAAAAAACAAACATAGAGGTTTCTGTCAACATTCTTTTTTTTATTCCCAAAGGAGAATAAAATTACATTATTTACAGGTATAGTTTCAAAATCACAACCCTGAGAACCAAGAATATATTAAAAGTGATTAATGGCAGCCACGCGCTCAGATCGGAAGACGTGTCCATTTGGTGGCCATTGATCAAAGTCTGCAATGTAATGCCACACCGCGTTCGGTACCAACACTTGCAGACTGTTCATCTCAATGACTGGCTCCGCTCTCGTCATGGCACTGACGTCACATGACTTAGAAATCCCAGCACGAAATGCCCTAGAAAAGTGGCAGCCTTTAGCAGCAATATTTAAAATACAATATTCATGGTCCATTCTTTATATGTACACTTCAGTGACTTTAATGACCTGGGCAATGCTGAACCACTTCAGTGCAATGTATAAAACACTCTTAAAACCTAAAAACATGTTATTGCCCCACCAAAGCTAGCCAGTGTCTGACCTCCCCTCTTTGTACTCAGCATAACAGGAAATAAAAAAGAAAAGAAAAGAGAAGAGATGTGCTGATTGGGATATAGTTGTATGTACACTGTGCAGGAAAAGGGCCGTCACTAGGAGTGCTGTGACATCCCATTCACCAAACTTCTAAGCTGCTTCACCACGGTGTCTATTAACTTCTGTTTGTCCCGATCATTCTTCCTGAACTGGGCGAATATATTATTCTTCTTGTTGATGTCCTTCATCCTAGGGGAAGTGAAGGAAAAAGTGAAAGCTTTCATTCCATGTCCCTACACTAGACTCTTTGGCTGTAGCAGAACTTCCAGCATACTCTGGAATCCAGTGGCCAGTATTGAATTGTAGATCCTCCTTAGCTAGAGAGCTTTGCCTAAACCTGCCTCACACAGTGAACCACAGGGCTACAGTAATCTCGCTGATGTTTCCCATAGAGTTTGGAGGGCAATCAGACCTGTAGGCACTGCCTTACACAATAAACCATGGGGCTACAATAATCTTGCTAAAGTTTCCCATAGACTTTGGAGGGTAGTTAGACTTGTAGACTCTGCCTCACACAAGAAATGACAGTGCTACTTAAATCTTGCTGGTTTCCCAAAGACTTGAGGGTAGTCAGACCTGGAGGCACTGCCCTACACAATACACCACAGAGTTACAAAAATCCTGCTGAAGTTTCTCAAAGATTTTGGAGGGTAATAAGACCTGTAGGCACAACCCCAGTGCCTCAGGCTAAAATTAGTCAGTGTGTCCCATAGTTTCATAACTGGATCTCCTCCAGAATGGCTGCTTGTAGCTCTCTGAGACTACCATATACAGGAGACATTTGCCTGACCTGGCTGTTGATAAATGCGTATCTGATGTCTCAAAGTGTGCTTATAATTCAGGCACTGCTTGCGGTAATCTCTTGACACATCAGCAACTGCTCCCATTTCTCTATAGACAAGGAGAATGATCCACTCCCTATCGGGTTCTGTGCTTTAATGTTGTAGGAGTAAAAGGTCCACAATTGAGACAAAGCTAGAATCTGCCCAATTTATACTCTTCCTGACTGGGACTACAATAATCCAGAAGTGGAGCAGGGAGCCTGTGGATCTGAACTGCAGTGGAACTTCAATCTCCATCACATGGCTTCACCTCAAGTTCTACAAACTAAATGGACCATAGCGGATGCAGAGATTTCAATGAATGGTAGCATTTGTAGCCCTAAGGATGTGGTTCTGACAATTAATCTTTTTAAGTACATCAAATTTCAGGGTCACCAACTCAGCAACCCGTTTTTTTGTAATCTATTATTTAAATCAGGATACGGTAAGTTGTGATCACACATTCCAGATAAGAGCAACCTTTTATGTTAAAAGAGAACTATGGGGTAAGTGTTTTTCCCCATAGTTTTCTTAAGGGTAACGGGAATACATATACTAACCTCCTCCTGTGACCCAAAGCTCAGTACTGTATATCAAGAGCTACAACGGGCGGTATACTGAGACCACCGCAGCTGGGACGGATCCCAACATTACTGTTGAGATCCACCCAGCTGCGTGAGTGACAGCTGGCTCTGCCTATCTAGAGGTAGAGCCAGCTGGACCCACCCCCTCCCGTCCGTTCCTCCACTCAGTGCTGGAGGATGGGAGCGGGGAGGGGGGAATCAATGCGGGGAGCCGTGGCTGACAGTCACTGCTCTCTGCAGTGAGACGATCGAGAAGTGAGCGAGAGCCGGTATGTGTTCGCTCACTTCCCGATCTATTGAGGCAACGTGTGACAATTTCATTGTCACACGTGAGCTCGAACTATGAGGATGAGTGATTTTCACTCACCTCATAGTTCTCCTTTCAATAGTATAAAAGATTATTATTTTTGGAAAACCAAAACACGGACGTCCTCAAAACCAATCCAGCAAATATATAAATATTATACTAAAAAAACAAATACAGTAAAAAATCTAAACATAGTTAAAAGGCCTTGCCACAGAAAAGTCATGTTTCACTTCTCTTAAAGGACTCTGTTCAATGACGCACTTTAAGCCCACCTTATACAAATGTTCTGCTGTGTTCTTGTTATCTATACAGTATATGATGAAGATAGTCCACTATAAAATCATTTTTAAAATGCAAATTAGAAGACCAAAAATACAGTGTTGATAAGCTAGCTAAGTTGTTTCCCTTTCATCAAACAGCACTGAATGCACAGCTTTATAAAGGGGACACCACTTTGCTTTTTCAACACACATATCCACATTAGCCCTTCTTAGCGCGCCTTCACGAATCATTATTCCTATCTTTCCTTTAACAACACACAGGCAATCAAACTTAGGGGAGAAAGTCCAAGACTGGCAAGCTTTACGTTTACATCCACTGAAAGCAGAATCATAGATTAAAGCTGAACACAGGAAGTAAGCAAATGATTATATATGATGCCATTACCCCCTTGTCCATAGATACAGAATCTAATGCTGGTTTTGTCTAGTGTTTCTCAACCATTTTTATCACCTTTTATTATCAACAGGAAAGCATGTAAGACTTCTTTTGTGCTGCTTCACCTTTCTGGAACTCCCGTCGACATTCTTGTGAGTATTCAACAACTCTATCAGTCTTTAAAACACTGGCACAGCCCTTCCAATAAAGTGTATCTAAACCCCCAAAACAGAACTGTCCTACAGTAACAAAACTGACTCTCTGCATTCTATCTATGGAGGAGTACCCTGCACTTAGTACCAGGTAACCCTGTCAGTCCCCTTGCTTTCCTGTGAGGTTCTGACCACACTAAGCACAGAAGCAGATGCATAGTAGTTTGGTTCATTTTCATTGCTTTATCTTTTTAATCATACCTCCAGGATGCCATGCCACCAGGCTGACACGCACCTACCCCTGCTCATTCACGGCTGTGTGGAATGCAGCAACATCTACATCATGAGACCGGCTTACTTTCCAACCATTCCCCTACCATTCAGACGCGGGATCGTAACTGAGTTCTTGTGGTCACATGACCGCTGGATAAAACTTGTTTTTTAAGGTAAATGGCAGATTTTTTCCAGTTTAAAGGGTTTTTTCCCCAACTACACAGAATTGCATATGGAGTGACAGTCTGCTTGTTAACCACAGACTCCACATAAACTTTAAGGGACAACAGGTATTTTTCTGACCTTGCAGAAAATGTCTATAGCCTCCAAAAAATAAAAGTAAAGCTGCAGCTAAATTCTGTAACCTGTAAGCTTCAATATAGAACATTTTTGTTATTTGGTTCAGGTAAACTTGGCACCTATGGCATATGGACAACATCCCTGTCCCGCTTCCTTATTCTTCTTGTATTAAATAAGAACCTTCAACTTCAATTTACAACATAACTACCACTGCAAGAACTCTCTGCGCCATTGTATCTCTCTCTTCTACTTTTAATTCTATGCTCATTTGCACAGGACGTCCTGTTTCTGGTGTCTCATATATGATATAATGTCATTTTTTACAGACTATGCTTTTATTAAAGAGAGTTTTTAAAGAGCAGTACATCATTAATATTACCAGTTTTGCAAGCACAAGTACTGATACTTGTCCAAGTACTTACAAGTACAAGTACTGACACATTTTTGTTTATTGACATGTGAGTTTTTCTAAAACAATACAGACTAATGATTTCGGGACAGCGGTGGAGCGCCAGAGCCAGGTCCCAGCTGCAACCGCTGCAACACTGGTAGTTCTCATGAAAATGCCAAGTATCTGCACTGGTATCGGTGCATCCCTAATATACACACAGTATATATACACAATATATACCAGTAGTAAAAATAATGTTTACACACAGAGCTATATACTCACTTCTCCAACAGAACTAGTGCAATACTGGGATTCACTCTCAGGTATTTGGAGCTGGGTTGACCATAGTCAGCGAGATAAGTAGACCAATCCCAAATCATGAATAAGTCAAGGAGCTAAAAGACACAACACATTATTTTCATTAGCATAAAGCGTATACATGAATGGTGTTTCATAGAAAGTGATCTGGATGGTCCAGGAATCTCCTAGATTGGCCGCAAATCTCTGCACAAGCCACATCATTAACATAACTAATGTTTTATATAAATCCGAGCAAAAGTAAAGCCTGTTAAGGTTCATTTTATCCAAATTAAATAAAACATTTCACTGATAAGAGATTTATTTCTGCTCCAGTTTTTATAGAACTACACTAACAGGGAAAGTATGTACAGTGCTAGTTATTCCTCATACTGTGTTACACAAACATGCATGATAGGGGTCCTGGGTTCAGTTCAATTCTCTGTGTATTACTGTATTTCCTCTGGATGCTCCCAATTTCCTCCCACAACCTAAAACATATTATTTGGCTTCCACCCAGCTTGCCTTCTCATGTATATGTTCTGCATGACTATATTAGGGACAATCTCCTTTGGACACATGGGCTAATAGGAATAGCCCGGGTATTTGTATATCACGAGGGAATCAGTTGATGCTCTACAAAGTAGTAAAACATAAATTACATTTATAAGCAACTCTAAAAATATTATTTTGAAAAGGCAAAATAATAATTTGGGATATTATTTGCCATGTAGATCAGTACTCCATGCAACGCACAGCTCAGGGACAATTGTCCAGGGGGTGGGTCAGCCCCTGTAAATCAGCCATACATACAGGGCACTGTCATCATGTTAAGTGCCATGCCATTTGTAATACAGTACTTCCGTTTTCACTGCTACTTTAGCGACAGGGTGGGGTGTGTGGAATTCCAAGCTAATTTAAACCAGATCTTTACCTAGTCCTAATTAAGCACATTAAAACAGTCCCTTCCAGATTATCCTCAGTGGGGAATCCGTGGCTGAGAAGCTCCAAGCTTCAGCAAGACTCCAGGGAATCCCTCCTTCCAAAACAAAATAAAATGATACCCCCTCAGCTCCCATCGTTATTGTAAGATCTGCTACAGTGGTTGTTGGTCAATATACAAGTAATCTTTTAAAAGCTAATGTGTCTGAACTAAAACAGCCGAGCATTTATTAAGCTTTAAATCCGTAATCCCTTTAAGCCATTTTAAACCCACTTCCTATCCCGTTTATAATTGTTTGTAACACTTAAATACCATGCTTACAAACTTGCTGGGCTTCGCCGCAGCTTTCCGGTACTCAGATCGCCTACAAAGAGATCTATACATATGCAATCAATATACAACCCAAACCCAAATTAGTAATGGCAGGTGCCCCCTCTCTGCAAATTGTTATTTGTAAAGAATAAGAAGAAAAAAAGTCACAGGGGAGCTG